GTGAGGCATTAACTGGGGGGTTCATGGGAGCTGTATGGAGCCTTGTTGAAGTTAAGCTCAAGCAGAGCATCACAGAGGTATGTGTCTCACAAATAAAGGGATTGCAATGGGCTAAACCGAAAACAAACTCTGCTTAGTCTTCAACATCCGTAGCAGAGACATGGAGCAGTGTTCCTGGAAGCAGAGTTTTTATTAATGACCAAAATAGGGTGTTTTTGCTACCTCCTCCCCTTTATTCCCCCCTTGCCCCCCAACCTGGTGAATATCCATCTGGAATATATTTATTGAACTAACACAGGGTCCTCGCTTTTCTCTGCAAGCAGCCTGGCTTCTTCTGAAGTATAAGAAGCCGCATTGACGGGAAAGAAATGGGCACATTTCAGCCTGAAGTGAAGTGTGCAAATACTCCAAATATTTGTTTGCATGTGTGGCCACTCGCAGAGCTGAAATTAATAGTTTGGGAGAAGTAGGGCTGAGTTCCCAATCTTGCCGACTTGTGTGTAGGAGATGGATTTGTAACCCCGAGTGGCAGGCTGGGCCGGGCCCTCAGGTTTGCTCTCAGTAGCATTTCTAAGACATTTTATTGCTTACACTGATGGTATTTTAAAATCTGATGTACTTTCCTTCAGTTTTGCTGCTTATTTTTTCCCCCCCTAGTAATCAGGTCATACCCTCTGCTGCTGTACATGAAGGATAAAGAACCCAGTGTTCTCCCTCCTACCATATGGAAGAAGTCCCTCTTCTAATGTCAGACCGCAGTGGAAATGGGGAAAAAATGAAAAAAAAAAAAAAAAAAAAGCAAGCTGAATCAGGATTCAGTGGGAGAAATAGCTCCTGCTAAGGGACCTGCAGCGTCTGGGTGCACAAGCCCCCATTGCAGCCAGTGAGGGGGGAATCAGGCAGTGGGAACTACCCTATGCACTGAACCCACCCCTTGCACTGAGCCCCTCCAGCACCAAAATACATGTCCAAGCTCTTGCAGATGGTGGGGGCAGAAAGCACCTCACTCAGAGCAGGAAATCTCTCTTTATTGCCAGTAATTGGAGTTTATTGCTTGTTAAACTGAAGGGTTGCTTACTTCTCACATCCTGCAAGGGTTTTATATGAAGACACTTCATATAGAATAAGGGTGGTTACGTCCTATGCATGGTCGCTGGATTTCCCAACCTGTGGTGTTGGAATTTGGCCTCATAGCAAGCAAAAATAGCATGGAGTTAAAAAACCCAGATGACAACTTGCTGTAGTATCACAAGTGTAAAAAAAGGAAATACTTTTACAGGCTGAGGAAAAAAGACCACTAAAGTCTTGTAAACAAGATATACATGCCACTGAGTATTATAAATATGGCTTCATCTCCTATGATGTATAGTGTGTTCAAGCATATATGTGCAAGTGTGGAGAAAATTTCCCCAAAACATAACATTTCCACAAGTAACGAGCAATTCTGACTGATCAGGTTTGGGGGCACACAGCCTAGAAGAAATCAGAAAGTGCCCTTCTCCTTGCAGTCAGGGTCAGATAATTTTACCGCAGCTGAAGAAGAGCATTAAGGAAATTTAAGAGTAAAAGAGAGTCTTGCTTGAAAATCCTCTGCCCAGTGCCTGCCCCGGCAGCGTGTCTGAGGGAAGCCAGCAACGTGTGTGCTGGAGGGGATGCCTGCACTGAGCAGCAGCTGAAAAAGAGTGAGGAGTGGTCAAGGCCAGGATTTATTGGAAACCAAGATCAGTACTGTTCTCTTGGAAACAGAAAGATTGTTTTATTTTTGCAAACAGAAATCTAGTTTGTGGTTAGCTTCTGGGAGGAGGTGGCTGCTTTGCACCCTCTCTGAAAATGAGCACAAATAAAACCACATTTTATCCTTCTCCAAAGACAAAACAATGCCCATAAGGTTCTCTCTGCTTGCACAGAAGTTTATCCTTAAACCCATCCTTGAAGAGGTAAAGGGGGGAGGTTTTTGGCTGTCTGGGATGCAGTGTGTCCTGGGGCATCTGCTAGGCCAGGACTTCTTATTTGTTAAGGAAAACTCTTTGCCCCATCTTTCCGTTAAGGAATCTGAATGGTATCTGCTAAGCTGTAGTCCCCTGGCCTGAGAAAGATTACTGCCTCAATCAACACGATGCAGATTTTTCTCTCTTATATTTAAGCATTTTGTTCCACTTCATGCTCTAAGAAGCTGATGGTGCCTATTCAACCCTGTGCGAAAAGACCCAGATCTGCCCCTTTTTTTAAAAACAGAAACCACGGTGTCTATATTATAGTCTTATATGTATGATTTGTATACTGAAACTATGAAAGGAGCATAAGGAATCTGTGTCCCCTCACAGCCTCAGCTCTTGCTTACGCTCACACCTGCAGGTTGCATATACTTTTACATGCTGTAGGCTTCAGCTGAGATCGGCTTTTTTTGCCCTCCATAGGGAACTGAACCCTCTGCCCCAGCAAGGGCTGCTGGAGGGAGTAAGCACAGTCTGACTTGAAACATCACTTGTTTTCTGCCTGGTGAGGCATCATGCCCTGAATGCTGCTCAGGGGATACAGCAACTCCACAGTCATAAAACCCAACACTGAGAAGCGTAGGTTAAAGCACTTATTTTTTAACAGTAAATATACTATTAATCAGTTCATACTTTAGCATATAGACTATGCTTACCACATGGGCTGAGCCCCACGTGTAATTTAAAAAGGTTGCAGTGCACACACACTAGCCCTAAGTAGACTTTCTTAGTAGCTTGACTTACACAGGCTAAAATCAGAGGTCTAGGGCAGAAGTTTCCACTCTCAGTTTCCTTTGGGTAAAAAAAAAAAAAGTGTATTTCTAGTTGTGGAGGTTGCAGAACAAAGCCTGAAGATGTTCCCTGCTACACCCTACAGGCACAGGCACTGAACAGCAAAGAAAGATATCCAAATCAGAATTAAGCAATGATTTGGAAGGCTTGGTTCAAGGCTTTTGAGTGCTTAGGACTGACAATGTGTGCACAGCAAGTGACAGTCAGAAACTACAAGGCAGCCTCTTGGGAGCGTTTATGACGCTCCAGTTATTTTTTCATCTTCAAGCAAACAGAAGCGATACCGCATTACAAGTATGAACACCATTATCTCATTTACCCACTGAATTATTACTACTTGCCAAATCAGGCAGTGCGTAAGCGAAAGGCTAGCACAAGGCATAGCCTGTCTCTTCAGCATTGATGGCCGTGTGGCGATTCCTCCTCCTCCTCGGCTGGGGTATGGTGTGTGCTGTCTTGGGACTGGGTCCCCTTACTGAGGACCTGAGGGACTCCTCAGCACAGGGCAGTGTCCGTGTGAGGAGGACCACTCGTTTTCCTTTGGTAGGAGACAGGGAAGACCATTTATTGCCATATGCCAAGCAGAGAGCACGGTGAGGAGCTCGTCCTGGGTGCTGTTTTCTTTCGGAGGTATACCAGCTTTTATCAGAAATAATCCTCCCAGACAAATGAAGGGCAAAAGGATGTGACTGCTGTCATGACAGTGTGATGCCAAAGGGCTGTACTTACCACCAGCTTCCAGCAAAAGCTTGGCAGTTCCCAGCTCCACGCCGGGACAGCCATTTAATGGAGAAACTGCATTTTTAGGTAGGGTGAACAGTGCTGTTGGAGCCCAGGGCAGGAGGAGAGACCCTGCTTGCTGTCAGTGCCAGGATCCCCGTGCAGGGACCAGCGACCATGTGGGGACGGGTGCTGCTGGATCCCTTCTGTGGCTGGCCCCTTCCCAGCCTGAGCATCCCTCCAGGGAGACAGGGAAAACCAGGATGGAGACAGAGGGGGAAACCCCAAAGATTATGAAATAAAACGTGGGCAGGGGCGGGAGAGGGGGAACTGAGTGTGAGTAATGCCCAAGGAACCAGGCCAACGCTACATGCAAGGAGTTGAGACTGGACTGGCAAAAAAAAAAAAAATAAAAAACCAAATCTCGTTAGGCAACAGGCAGTTCCTCCAGGAATAACTCAGCACTAGGGGACACTATTGTACCATAAATCGCAGCATACACAGCAGAAAAATGTCTGGTTTCTAGCGAGAAACTGAACAACCCACTTCCCTTTTTTAGGCATTTCTGACACCAATACTGTACCATGATGGCACTTCATCCCCTCTTCCCAACTTCTGTAATTTTTCACATCCTATACAAATGCCACAGTTTCTACCTCACCCCATGACAATAGCAGGTCTTGTTTCTTGGCACATATTTCTTTACTGGTCTCTGTTCCCGAGCAAAACCTGATCAGCATTTGCTGCCAGGGTGACCCTTTTCTGTGTGCCACAGGCCAAAATCACAAGCAGGGGACAACTGCCCTCACCTCTCAGCTGGAGATGGGTTTCTGCCGAGCTGATAGCAAAGCTCCCTCCTCACTATTACAGGCCGGAGTTTTATAACTAAATAACATGCTGCAGATTCTGCACCTATTTTGGGAAACGGTAAGTAGAAAACTATTCCCAGCAGACTTTTCCATGCAGGAACTCACGTGTGGTATGTGACCACGCAGGACACGTAAATACACCATCCTCACCAAATGCATCCCTTCCCTCCAAGTGTCTTATAAGCATTTTCTATATGCAACTATCTGCAAATACAAATTTATCGAGGTGTCAGCTGCTATTTGTTGGAGTACTCCACCTTTGCAAGACCTACTGAGACCCCAGTTGCCATCAGAAGAGGTTTGGTTCCAACAAGTCCCCCCACCAGCAGCCCCAGACGGTGCCCTGAGCCCAGCAAGTTGGGCTACAGCAAAGGCCAGTTTGGCTGGGCCAAAATCCAGCTCTGAGAGGCTGGGCCAGTGAGTCCCCCAAGATCTCATCCCACTCCAGATGCTGCTCACAGCAACTTCTGTACTGCTTTGACTAAGTTTTTATTATAACATTATAAATTATTATTATGTATTACACTCCAGTGCTGTGTATAGATAAAAATATATTATAGGAAAGAAGAATCTGCATACAGAGACTTTAACATAAGACACAGAAAACTGTAATTGTTAAATTTTAACTTGCAACACTTTAATTTAAGCAATATTTTTTTTTTTTAAATAGTCTTTCCTATTGCACAAAAAACTCTGCCTTTTCTCTTCTCATAATAATTGTCTCATAGAAAAAAAAAACAACCTCTGGTACAATAAAAATGCTTTGCAACACACATGTATATTGATTTACTGTACAATATTTTAAAATTTGGGAATGGGCATATTATTTCTGCATATTCTGAAATTCAGTTTTCCATGATGAGTTATATTTACAGTTGCACAATGGCCTTAATGCTTGGAGACACAACTATAATACTCAGTGGTAGCCTCTGAAAGGAAGTTTTAGCCAACTCTTACACACATTTCTCAAAGCAGTCTATAGTTACAGCTTTGAACTTGAAGCTCTGCCCTCCTGTGGGTTTAGGTGGAACTGTAAAACTCTTCTACACGAACAGCTTTCAGTCCTCTTCCACTTCACAGATCCTTAAAATTTTCTAAAGGGGTTTCAGATCTATTCTGAAAATTCACATCCATAAATTGTTCTGAAGGGGAATTTCCTTTAAGTGCCTTTTGTTGACTCTGGCATGTGCAGACTGTGGGGTAAAGAGTGAAATTGCACTCTTCTGTGTATCTGTAAAGATAATTTCTCAGGCAGAACCCTGCCCCCAACCAGACAAATTCCTTTTGCTCACCTTTATTCTACAGTATTAAAACTGTTTTCTTTATGATAACATCAAGTGACTTCATAAATAACACATCAAAACTTACTTGCTATTAATTTATCAACCATTTTTCCAAATAAGAGTCTTAATCCTACAATAATTTCTATTTCTGTCTTAATATATCACACATTTAGGCTTTGCTCTAGCAAAAGGCTAAAGGGTTCACTGGAAAAGCACAGCAACGTTTCCTTCTGTCCAAGATTCTGAAGTTTTTCTTTATACAAGAAACATAGTGCAATCTGTTTTTTCACCTTACTGCACTCAAAATAAGATTTATTTGTGTCTCATCTGGACTCAGACTCCTGATTTCCAGGTATTCCTGGAGATTTTTTCCAAAGGCCTTGGGTTGCCTCTTTTCTGCAAGGTGTGAGCAAGATGAGCACTCCTGAACAGGAACAAATATAATATATAACTATTTTTAAAAATTACTTCTGAATTTTTATTTTTTATTTTAAAATTATTTTTTAAAAAACTTGGTCAATAGTTCAGAAAGGCAGGCCTGATCCTGCACTGGACTTCAAGCACCCAGAGCTCCACTTTTAGCCAAAACATCCTGAAGAACTGGAGTGATAATCCAGATCCTGCAGCCATCGCTTACAGGACCAGTCCCATTGAAATAAGTTGCAAATGCACACTAGGATACTGCAATTTTAAAACTGCATCCACAGACAAGATTTTTCTAGAAATTCAGAAGATGCTGGCAGATCTGCTGCCCATGAAATCATGTCCAAAGAGCTGCTCCTTTGGGTTGGGAGAGGGGCTCAAGCCCGAGTTCCTGGATTTGCAAGCCCAGGAACCAACCTTGCAAGTCTTACACACATAATTATCTTGAAAACTGAAATCCAAAGCAGAAGCAGTTGAGAGTAGGGCAGGAATTATCCTGGCCTCTGCTCTGTAAATAATTTAGCGGCTGTTTGAAAATGCAGTGAAAACTCTGCTCTCTATTTGTCAGTAGCTCCCTGAGTGCCTGTATAGCAAATGTTGTGTTTACAGTTCCCACTGACTCAGAATATTAACATTCTTAGTAGAGTTGTGAAATGAAGCAAATGCCCAAATACAGGCTTTGAAGAATTTGTTTATGTGAGTTTATCATCAGATAAACAGCTTTCTGGTGCTGGTTGGCAGTGGCTCCTCCATCCTAAGTGGCTATGCATGTCCAAGCAGTGCTCCTGGGGAAGGGGCTGTCCCACCAAGTAGCACAAAACATGGACTGTCCACCATTATCATTACAGATCTAATTGCGATGAAGGCTTGTGAGCCTCCATCATGTCTTCTGGAAGAGTTCCAAGATTTCAGTTGCCCATGAGAGATCTTAGGGGAAGTTCTAGCCTCATTATGAAGGAGCCACAGCTGCCTTTCCGTTCTCTCTATGGCTTTCTCCAAAGGGCTCCTCATCTTTCTCTTTTATGGAGAACTTTTTCCTGAAGGCTTGTGTTAAGCTGGAGGAAGAAGCCTTCCTAAACGTGGTAAGTCTCTTCCGAAAGTTGCCCCCTGAGAAGAAATAGAGAAGCGGGTCAAAGCAGCAGTTGGAGGCTGCCAAGGGGAGTGTTACTACAACCGATTTCTGTAGGTATATGGCATCCTCGCAGCGGGTGTTCTCCAGCCACAGCATGTGGAGGTGGACTGTACGCAGAATGTGGTATGGGGTGAAGCTCACCAGGAAGGTGGCCGTCACGATGACGATCATCCAGACTGCCTTCTTGCGATTAGCCTGGTTCTTCTTCAAAGAATTTTTCAGTAAGGTCCTTATGATCATGGTGTAGCAGATAGTTATGACAATAAAGGGAAAAATGAAACCCACAAATAGGGCAATAAAATCCAGGGTCACAACTAGACTTGTCTTATGAGAGTTTTCTGGGGGTTCGAAGCACTTGGTCTTGTTGCCATGTTGGTATGTCCCGTTTCGCAGGAACGGAGCACTTGTCAGGGTGACAAAAATCCAAATGCCAATGCAGACAAATTTAGCCTTCTTCTCTGTAACCAAATTGATGTTCTGGACTGGAAAAACAATGGCTATGCAACGGAAGAAGCTCATTGCAGTCATGAAAAAAATGCTGCAATACAGGTTGACATACAGCATGTATGAACTCACCCTGCATAGGAAGTCACCAAAGAACCAGTTCCCTTTGTGGACATAGTAGATGACACGCAGGGGCAGGGTGCACACGCAGAGGAAGTCAGATACGGCAAGGTTCAGCATGTACACCTGGAAGGCTGTCTTCTGCCGGTATGTTTTTATGAGGACGTAAAGCACAACGCCATTGCCCACAAAGCCCATAATGCTGATCATGGAGTAGAGTGTGGAGTAGACTCGGTTTCGGAAGTCATCGATGGAGTGATGGCACGACAAGTTATCAAACACCGCCATCACGTTGCCTGGCTGAGGCACCTATTCTGCCTGGAAATGAATGTCAGGCCTAAGGATGAAAAGCTCAGGTGAGATATGTAAAGCAGCACATGAAAATAAAATTACATTGTTAAATAGGAGGAAAAACCTATCACCTCTTGCACAGGAGAAAACATCTAGGAAGGGATGTGGATCTGTGCAGATCCATGTTATAACTGTCCCCTACAGCCTCCTTTCTTAACCTGGTACCAAAAACTGCTGAGGTAAAGGTGAGAGTCACATTTTCATAAGTCCTCAGTACTGGCAGCATCCTTCTTCCGCTGAATTACCAAAAAGCTCTGACTCCTCACAAACTAAGGTAGCTACTCACTGAAGGAGCAGAGAGAAACAATGGAGGTGGCAATAGCACTAGACAATTTAAAATATAAAGCCCGAATCTGCACCCTAACGACTGTTCAGTCCTGCCTCTCTGCATCACCTGGCAAATGCCACCTCCCTGTGCTCCTCTTCCCACGCCTGCCTGCATAAGGACAGGTCACTGCAGGAAAAAGTCTGCAAGAAGATTTCAAAACAGTAAAGGAAAACTGTTTTTAAAAAAAAAAAAAACAACCACCAACCAACCCCAAATCCTTTGCTCACAAGGTGGAAGATTATTCCAAGCCAGAGGCTGTTCAGAGCACAAGCAGACATTTGTCACCTCCCCAAATTCTGCACTGTTCTCCTCTGCTCACAGGTGGCAGCATTTTTTTAAGCTTGATTTCTTTATAAATATGTGCAATTACTAGCTTTGGAAAAGGTATCTCCCATTATATCTGATGACCAGGAAGGATTGCTGTAGCGGAGAAGATGCTGCAGGGCTCCAGCTCCCCTGGCATTGACCAGGCAGAGGTACTGCTGCAGCTCCCAGCTGGCAGCAGGGGAAGCTGCAGGGAGGCTCATGTCAAGGAGAACAAACCTCTTGATCTGGAGACATCTCTGCTATCAAGGTAACTTCCTAGCAAAGGGCTTCTTGAGTTTGCTTTTGCACATTGCTTTGGTTTACATTAGCAGGTCCAAAGTGGCCAGACCCTACAGCCAGCAAGGGTTTTTGAATCCATTCAGCCAGTTTTTAATGAAATTTTACTGTTTTCCTTTTGGTATTCATTTGAGTGCAGTGAGACATGACACTCTTAATTTGGGTTGTCCTAACATAAAGCAAGAGAAAAATACACACATCTTTTTCCCATTCATTTTCAATTTCTAATGGTTCAAACACAGAATCTCACTTGTAGTCTGAGGCCATGAAAAACCCCAATAATCAGAACTTCAGGATATGTGCATGCAGGCTGAAATAACAGGACTTAAGAAAAACAATGGTGAAAGCAACAACTGGGACAAGATCGGTTATGAGAACCCACACCATATATGTGCTCAAAACTGATGTTAAATGATACGTATTCTCATCCATAAAAATAGTCTGGTAGATTTGAAGTAGAGTCTCTGTCTCTCCAGGATTTACTGGGAATTCAGATACACCCTGGGATGCTCAAGGCTTCCAGGTTTCAGTCAAGTTTCAGCTATACGGAAGTTTGTACTCTGATTATCTGCAACACACAAAATACATTAAAGCTCAATAGATATCTTCAAGGTGACACAGATAGAAGAGGAGACAAAACCTGATAAGAGAGGATATTTTTTCCCCCATGAGCTATTTGTGGACACTTTATGAGTATGAGAGCGAACAACCATGTGACTGCACAGAGTTCTTTGGCCAGAACAGGCAGCACAAGACTCAACATGGCTCTGTGGTAGATCAGTAGATTGTACATCAACACTTACAGTTCACAGTAGCTTACATAAATTAAGCTTATCTAGCAATGCTCATTGCAAATAATCTCTTCATCAGAGACAGGTAGCGAGTTTGCAGCCATGTCCTCTCCCTGCCCTACAAATGCTGCCTCTTGGCAGCCTGGTTCTGGAGTTGGCAAAATTCAGACCTCAGCCCCAGCTGAGTTTGGGCTCCTCACACACATGATGGAATGCCCAGAGTGGGTCTGAATACCACCGGACATCACTCCTGTGAGCTTCTCGTGGCTCCAGCCACCCCTCCTCTGTCAGGACCAGCCAGCAACACAGAGCTGCTGCCCTGGTGGGGTGCTGCAGAGGAGACCAAGCTCTGGATCCCCTGGGAGATGCCAAGAGATCCAGCCTTCAACCCACACCGCTGGCATCCTTGCTAGCCTGAGGTTTTCACTTCAGAATTGTGGTTCAAGTTATGAAAAGGGCAACACTCAATAATGTTTGAAAATCTCCAAGATAGGGCTAAAATTATGTTTGTGGTAACACTGGTTTGATTTTAACCAATTGTTTGGGAGTGGCAGGTAGTGCAATATTATCTGAAAAAAGCTGCGTGATCCCCATTAATTGTTTTTATCTGTCAAGATAACGTGACTCAGGTGATGAAGCTTTTACTACTATTACTCCTACTTCTGGGTTAATGCCTAGCAAGTAGACCCACTGAACAAAACTCCACCGTGCTATGCAGTGTATGAACACACTGAGTTTAGCGGCTCAATTATGTCATGAAAACCCATATCAACAAAATCTCTGTACTTACCAAGGCTTCATATATCAGTTCTTTCTCAGACATTAAAAAAAAAAAAAAAAAAAACAAAACAAAAAAAACCCAAAAAAGACACAACCAAGATATTCAAGATTAAGAGGCTAGAACAACGATGTTTGCACATTGAAGCTTTTTTAATGTCTGCACCTCCAGGAATTTATGATCAGTGTGAAGAAGGAGAAGAAAATGGGACAAACTGAGCTGCATGGGCAACCCAGTGGGTAAACAGATGTTTTGCCTAAAAGCAGTAACATGATGTAACGCTCAGAGAAGGGAAGAGGCTGCAGATGGAGAAGCTGGGTGGAGCACTGGGGGAGCTGGGCAGAACCTAGGTCTCCCAACAGCACATTTTGGGGCAGGTTTCCTTTGTGCCCTAGGGCTCCGTGTCTGCAGCAAGTACCTCTACCTTTCTGCCACTCTGGATTTCTCTTCCCTTCCACCAGTGTAGCTATCCTGCCTGAGCGATAATCAAGAAATATCGGCCAATGTCTCAGCCCATCATTTGCTCATTAGATAAACTTCCTTATTTAATCTCTATGCCTATTTGTGCACAGGCTTGAAGTGGTATTGATCTGGATTATAAACCTTTTACCTCCTTTGGAGACTAAATTTCAGTTTTTCAGATGCTATTATTAAAGACATTAGCAGACAGCTAACAATCACATCACATGAGGTATTTGTTTAAAAGACAACGGAGACCTGTTATCTAGCATATTTCTAAACATAACTTAAAATGTCTTTTGTAACCAAAAGGAAAACCGATGATTACAATACTGAAGCAGACTGCTGAAGTGTAAGAGAGATCCACACCTAGAAATGTATCTGTAAACACCAAAAACCCCACAAAACACCATTTCCTAGCTGAGGCTTTACACCATGAATTGAAGACAAGTACCAGTTCTGCTGCTTTTTATTTGTGTAATAGTGGTTCACTGAACCACTTATTTATGTGCTGTTGAATTCAGCTCATGAGGAATGTACACCAGGGAGAGGCAGCAGCAATGGGTAGCTGGGAAAAGTATCCTAACCTCAGGAAAACCCTAAGCAACTGTTATTCTCCAAGTCTCATGCAGCACAGCTGGGTGTACAGCTGGTCATAAATAGAATACACTACATTTAATTACACAATCAAAAAAGCTTACCACCAAGGAAGATAGTGTCGTTTGGCTCAAGCTCAGACCTAAAGCCCCACCAGCTCTCAGGAATGCTCAGAGCTGACACGGGCTGAATTTAACATTTGGTGGAAGAGGCATAGGAAATGCCTCAAAACACCAAGAGCACACTTCACAAGTGTAAAATTCTTTCTACCAGGGGAACCCGAGTTGGGCTTAGAAAGAGAAACAGAATGAATAATCAAAGCAAGCAGTAGTTGGTTTATTAATTAATGACCCCGCTCATTAGTTCCACACGGTATAACCGAGCTCCGGTGGGTATTCAGCCCGGCTTCAAGCCGTTCCCTGCGGCCGGGATGCGGCAACCGCCGTCCCACCCCCCGCCGCGCCTGTCGGGGACCCCCGTCCCGACCCCCAGACCCACGCGTGAAGCCCGGCGAGGACTTACCAGAACAAAACCAGAAACGGCCACGGAGCTCCACTCGAGCTGCCCCTTCACCGCCCTTAAACTGGGGCTCAGCCCTCCCCGGCCGCCCCGGGGAGGGGCCCGGCCCGCCCCCGGCCTCGCCCCACCGCCCCAGCCCTTCGGGGGGAACTGGTGCGCGCTGGGGAGACGGAGGGGGCTCCGCTCCCTCCCTCCCTCTCGGTCACGGTGGGGCTGTACCCCTCAGGGCTGGGGGAACCGACTGCTTTTCGCTTTCTGCCGGCTGCTGCAGAGCTGCCGCCCCCTCCACGGGGCAACGGGGAAGCTTCTGTCTACGGCGGGAATGCCTCCAAGTCGCACCTACTGCAGCATCCACGGTAGCCCTGCTGGGATAACGCGCCGTGAAAACCCTCTGTCCCCATCCCTGGCTCCTGGGACCTGTCTGGTGCTGGTGACCCCAGATGCAACCTTGTCCAGCTCCTTGTCCATGAGCAGGAGCTGTAAGCAGTGACCCCAGGTGCTCCTGCAGAAAAGACACCTGCATCACCACAGCCTTTCCACGGTGCTGTGTGGTTGGGTGACCACCTGGCCAAATTTTGAGCTGATTTTTCTGTCCCAGCTCTGTTTTGATGGCTGGTTTTGGAGCTTCCCTAGACCTATGTGCTCTCTAGGCAGGTGAGGAGGGGTTGGCTGCATGGTCCGCCCAGATGGGATCCAGAGTGATGAAGCACACGACTGGGGGGCAAGTGCCAACGGGCAACTGTGGCTGCACACCAGCAGTGGGACAGTTAGGTGCCTCAGTAAAACCCCTGGTGTGCTTGGCTAGTTACTGTGCACTGGGAAATGGCACTGATGGAGGCAGATCTTTTCACCCCATGTCAAGTCAGCTACTGAAAAATCCCCACCCACATGCTGAGGAGACTCCGAGTGCTTTGTTGCTCACCTATTTAAAAAATGGAGATTGCACATAAATGTGCTCTGTGCTGACTTCTAGTAGCACCGGACCAACATATGGACCAAAACAGATTTTTTCCTGCATTCAGGGGCAAACTTTGCCCCTGGGGTGTCCTGGAAGCGGTGGCATTGCTCTGCCTTCTGCAGATTCAGGGTTCCCAAAGGTATGGCTGGGGTGATCTTGACCATTGACACCAGCAGAGCTGTTTGGGCTGTCCCTGCAGCATCGTCAGCCCTGCAGCCCCCGTGTCCATGCAGGGGACAAGGAGCAGCACAGCTCCCTGCCAGCCCTTCCTTGGTGTGGGAGGGTTGCATGAAGATGCTGCGGTGGCCAAGGAATAACTCTGATGCTCACCCATGACCTGGAAAGCTAATTTTCTTCCACGTGATCCTCACTCATCTCTGGTAGTAAGTCTTTAACTTCTCATGGGAAATAATAATACTGGGTAAATAAACTTCCTCAGAACTAACTTCTAAAGTAATATGTACAAAAAAAAATAATAACCAAGAGATACTGTAAACGCTGCTCTCTGTTCACGGGACACATGTCTCTCCACATCCTCCTGTTCCCATGGTATCTCTGTGGTATGAAGGATGTGTGTGTGCCCTTGTGCAAGGGTCCCCAAGGCTGCTCCTGTCCAAGGCCCATTTTCTGCTCAACAGTATATCCCCTGCTGTTATTTAGCAGTGTTCAGTGTAGGAAGGAAACATTCCTGCTCTAGGGCTTGCTCTCCCCAGTTGGCACAGGTAGCATCCCACCACAGTGTAAGGGAAAGCAAAGGCTTGGAGATGGGCTGAGTATAATGACAAAGCCCTTGTCCACCTGGCACTGGAATTACAGGCCCATTACAGACCCACCTGGAGGTTTTGTAGTAGCCAGCATTGCAGCTGTGCCTGCTTCCTCCAGCTGCCATGCCAGGTCTTCTTTTCTTATTTTCTTTCTTTTTTGCTTGCATCTCTTCCACCCCAGTGTGTCCCAGAAAGATTTCCTGCTGTCCAACCCAGCAATTTGCATTTTCATCGTGTGTCCTTGGCACCTTCTCACATCCAGAGCATGCAGACTTGTTTTTCAGACAAAGCCATGGTGCTGTGGAAGTGACAGTTTTGCACCACTCTATGAACAGCAAAGGTATGTGAGAAGAAAGTACACCTCATACATCTGCCCCCTCTGAGAGCCTTCCCTGCCTTCCTCACCTACCCCATGCAAAGAAAAGCCTGCCTGTATTCCAAGAGCCTCTTTACAGTATATTAGGAACAGTCAGGGGATAATTCGGGTTGGAGGGGACCTCAGGAGATCTCTATTCCAACCTCCTACTCAAACCAGGCCAGGCCAAGTTACTCAGGGCTTTATCCCACCCTGGTCTTGAAGACTTTCACGGGTTGGAGGTCCAAGGGCCTCCAAGACTGGGCAACCTGCTGGACTGCCTGCAATCTCCTACACTGTGAACCAGTTTGCTTTAGTTGGGGTGCACATTTTGGTATTACTCCATTCTGCCATTCCTTCTGCTTTTTTTGGTACTTTTTTTTTTGTTATTTCTTCTGCTTTTTGGCACTCAGTTTTGTTATTCCTTCTCCTTTTTTTTCCTGTTCCTTTTTCTTTTA